CCCTCCCCCCACACACACAGCTGTGGAAGCCCCATATGCCAGTGGCAGCGTGAACATTACCGCTCACAAGTGGCAAGGAGTGCCAGGTGACACGTGGTGCAGCAGGGTCTCTCTCTCTCTCTCCTCTCTCTCTCGCTCTCGCTCTGTCTCTCTCTCTTGCGTGTCACACACGCGATGGGCGTAACTCGTGTGTGTGACACGAGAGAGAGAGAGAGAGAGAGAGAGAGAGAGAGAGAGAGAGGAGATTAATGACAGGCATCTGGACTTTCTTGCACACAGAGAGAGAGAGAGAGAGAGAGAGAGAGAGAGAGAGAGAGAGAGAGAGGAGATTAAAGACAGGCATCTGGACTTTCTTGCACAGAGGGATGGAGAGAGAGAGAGAGAGAGAGAGAGAGAGAGAGAGAGAGAGAGAGAGAGAGAAGATTTATCATAGGCATCTGGACTTTCTTGCAGAGATGTGCATATAATGGTCTCTCTCCACAAGCACGTCCAGATCCAGGATAAAACAAACTGCAAACTACAAAAAAAAGCAAATTTTTTATTTATTTACCCCTCCGAGGCTCCGGCTTATGCCCCTCTGACGGGCCGCTTACCCTTTCCAGCCCCTCTGACAAGGATTGACGTTTCCCAAAAACCCCTGGCATCGTTTGGGCCTGAAATATGTTCAATATGCCCCTACCTGAACCTGGTACCGGCTCCAAATTTCCAGTATGCTCCGGTCCCCTTCCAGGGCCAGGGGAACAACCAAGAGTGCCACCAACAGCCACAGGGGCATGCTCGAAAGTTGCAATCCTCACTGACAGGGGCCAGCAGGAAAATTCGGAGGCCCCAGGGCACAACAGGGTAAGGGCCTCTTTAGACCCTCCTTGGAAAGCCTATTTTTAGGAATTCTGTGTCGTTACACTGCGTCCTAATTCTCCAAATTCCTTGGATTCATGTGAAAAAGCTCGCGAGAGAGTTCCTAAGAATCCCCAGCCAAAACGCCCCTCTATACAAGGGGTCCTCACAAGCTCGCTTGGGTTCAAGGAGCCGGGATTGAGGGAGCATTCTGGAGCGAGCGCCGACAGCGGCGACAGTATAATTTGGAGTCGATGTTTGTGCAGAGGTCTTCCGTGGACCATGGTCCATTGGGCGGACACCGCCGGCCTCTAGTAGCCGACGGCCCCCAATGGCCTTCTACCATTACCGTTGCTGCAGAAATGCATGGGGGTGATTCTTCAGCTCCAAAACGCATCATGAAGCGGGGTATTCTGTGCGCCCGTTGTCGGGCGAGTGTCCAACAGGCGAATTTTTTTAGAGAAAACTACGGCGCAGTCAGGGTTTGAGTTTGTAATTGCACTTGAGGCAAAAGGGCTGGTAATGCTGAATGTATATGACCTACGTTTCCGGTCCGGTGGGGACGCGTGGGGGTGTGTTGTATTCGAGGGATTGGCTGAAGTGCAATTACAAACTGTTTTCGGGACTGCGCCCAAGTTACCCCTTTTTTTTTTTTTCCTACCGGCAATGTGGAAGCAGTGTCTGCCAATTGTAGTCCTCGCCAGCGTGTATTGTCGGCTGTGCTTGGGCGCACGGGAGCAAGCTTTGTTTGGTCCACACCTTGCATGCTGCGATTCATGGCAGACGTCCTCCTCCAGGTCCCACCGCTTCTGCTGGCCACTATTCTCCTACTCCACAAGACACTTGTGTGTGGTTGTGCAGGGTCGTGGCAGCAGACGAAAACGGTGAATGCTGAGGAAGATGACGATGGACAGGTGGGAAACCTCCAGCAGACAGCCGACGCGTGCGATTTACTTTTCCACTCCAGGACCAGCGGGCGGGGCGCCTTGTACAGCCGCGTACGACCCGACATAGTACAGTCATCTGACTCATCTCCAACCACTTGAGCAGCCATTACCGCCCGATCTAGAAGAGGAAGGGTGGACGATCTGTCCCACACTCTGCCTCTGGGGAGCAGATTGACGGAGGACTAGATGGGGAGTCATTCTAGACGACGGGAGGCGGTGACAAGTCGTCAGTCAACTACGATTTCGTCAAAACGGACATTTTTTATTTTTTGAACGAAATTGGAACTTCATTTTTTTCGCTTTTTTTTTCATTTTCTCGCAGTTTTAGTATCACACTATATAGGGCCCCATGGGTTTAAAAGTGGATGTGCATCGCCTAAAATTGTCAGTTTTTGCATGAGAATAACGTTTTTTTCGTTTGTGTGATATTCGTTGTGTGCACGTAGTTTAATTTTCCAGTTTTTTCAAGGTTTTCTCACCATTTTTTGAACTTTCGAAGATTGTTTTATTAACATTTTCTCCTTTTTTTTACTAAATCGATCGGAAATGGCATCAAATAAGCATTTTCGTTTGTGTTTGCTAYGGATTCATCAGCAATGTTGTWTTTTTTTTTKAAATTTGCATCGTTATRGTYWTAAAATAAGATTGTCAATGCGYTTTGCATCTGTAAATCTTGCTTTTTTTTAATATGTGGAAACAGATCACCACGCGAAAAAATAGAGAGTGGGCCCTTTGAGGCCCTTTGCACACCACGCGAAAAAAAACAACAAAAAAACACTACAAAACTAATAATACATACCCTCGAATTCGACGGAGAGGGTCATCTCCTCCCCATTGCTCTAAAAAAATGACTTTCAATGTCTGGAACACTTGTCGGCTATCACCAACCTGCTATGCTACTGGTTGCTATCCTTTGTCCCGCAAAGGATAAGAAGTAAAAAGTACCTTCCGTGCTTCAATCGTTCACAGTATGGACAATCTACGACGATCTTTCTTCTGCCGCACACTAACGACACTTCTTTCTGTCCCGATCGATGATATTGCTTCGACAAAGTCAATTCATCTGTGTCACATCTTCTGTGCTCGACTGTGATTACAATCTCCTCACATTTATAAAAAAGGTGGTGCTGTTGCGCATGCACCAAACTGTCTACCCTGTACAATAACTCATCATCACCGGTGCGAGCAACGCTCTTCTCCCGATGCAACGCCACGCGCATACTTTTTGTTCAAATTTGTCTTTGGCATCCCAGTCCTGTTTTCTGCATACCTCCCTCCAGTTTGCTAGTATCTCTAGAGGATCCACAACGTCATTTGTCGACATAATGACGCACGCCTCATCCAACTCAGTGTACAGGTACCAAACATTCGATCCATTGTCGACGACGACTGTCTCCTCTCCGTTGACGAGACCCATGATCGGCAGAAACTCTCCATCAGGCCCAACTTCTTCTTCGACATTCATGTAACCATAATTCTCAAATTCTTCTATGATATCGACCGACCAAATGTTAGTCCCTAAAATAATCAGATCCTCAATTGTGGACGGAGTGTGATGAGGGGATCCGCTTTAATGAGAGCTTGGTTGACCGGCTTCCATCCTGCAAGTTTAGCGCGTAGACGATCAAAATTCCCGATAAAAACAGAAAAACACGCCGGACCCGCTATATATACATCGTCTCTAACTGTATCCTTTAAGCAGGAGGTCTGATAACCCGTCCGGTTCTTGTGACATACGGGGTTTGTTGCAGACGAGGTCGTGGACTGAAGCCATACAGAGCATTCATAGTCGATCCATATACGTGGATCTGCG